TCCAACGAGCGCGGCGAGAGAGCCGAAGAGTCGACTGGTCACCGGTTCCGAGAGCTTGGCGGGTGTTGGTCGGTCGTCCGAAGGGTCTGTCTCTTCTGCTTCGTTTGCTGGCCCAGTCCAGACCTGATCCACCGGCCGACGTCGTCTCGGCCTGCCCTCCCCACGAAGAGAGAGAGAGAGTCTGTGTTGGCAAATGGGAACTGGGGAGTGTGGAGTGCGGAGTGCGGAGTGGCGAGTGGCGAGTGGGAAGTGGGGAGTAGGGATTGGGCGAATGGGCGAATGGGAGTGGGCCAAGCCACATGCGCACCTCTCGCACATGCCGGTCTGGCGATTGCCGCCTCAGCACACTCGCCAGGCTTGTGTGTGTGTGTGTGTGTGTGTGCTTGAGGGTGTGACGGTGTGGCGGTGGGTGTGTGTGTCTGTGTGGGCTCGGCCACCGGCGGTCGTGTCGTCGAGAGCGGCGCAGTCGCGGTGGCAACAATCCGAGGGTCAGGACGGCGACTGGTTTCGACGAGCCGCGAGAACGGACAATTGGGCCACTTTTCGAGGCACAACCGCGACTCGCTTGCTCCAGCGTCTTCTGCCAACCGAGGCCGTGGTTGGACCAGACTCTGCGGGACTCGCTCATCCGCCTCGCCTCGCCGCGCCCCCTCCCCGTCCTTGACTCGGGCGACTTCAGCTCGATTCCTTCGCCAAAACGACTCTCACCCGCCGGACTGCCACTCGTCGGTGCGACCTTTCAGTGTTCGTCTCGCCTCACCTCCACACACCGACAGCCTCGCCGTCCGATGGACTGTTGCACGACGAATCTCGACGCCATCGCTGACGCAGATGAAGCCGATTGCGAAGGGGGGAGGTCGCTGCCCGGCTGCCTCATGCGTGGGAGTGAGTCGGCGAACACCGACGCCAATGACAAAACCGACGACGGCGAAGGCGAGGGCGAAGGCGAGGGCGAGACGTGCCGTCCGCCGCTTGAATCCTTCAAGCGTGTGATTGAGTCGGTGAATGCCAACGCCGACGACGGCGAAGGTGAGGGCGAGACGCGCCGTCCGTTGCTCGAATCCTTCAAGCGTGTGAGTGAGTCAGAGAATGCCAACGCCGGCGACGGCGATGGCGAGGGTGAGACGGGGCGTCCGTTGCTCGAGTCCTTCGAGCGTGTGATTGAGTCGGTGAATGCCAACGCCGACGACGGCGAAGGCGAGGGTGAGACATGTCGTCCGCCGCTCGAATCCTTCAAGCGTGTGAATGAGTCAGGGAATAACAACGCCGACGATGGCGAAGGCGAGGGTGAGACGTGCCGTCCGTCGCTCGAGTCCTTCGAGCATGTGATTGAGTCGGCGAATGCCAACGCCGACGACGGCGAAGGCGAGGTTGAGACGAGGCGTCCGTCGCTCGAGTCCTTCGAGCGTGTGATTGAGTCGGCGAATGCCAACGCCGATGACGGCGAAGGCGAGAGTGAAACGTGCCGTCCACCGCTTGAGTCTTTTGTGTATGCAAATGAACCAGCGAACGCCGACGATGTTGACGGCGAGGCTGAGACTTGCCATCCGTCGCTCGAGTCCTTCGAGCCTGTGAGTGAATCGGCGAACGTCAACGTCGAAGCATGTGAGGGCGAGGCGGGTGGTCGGTCGCCCGAGTCCATCGTGGGCGTGGGCGAGTCGACGAACGTCGACGCGGAGGCCGGGACGCCGGTTGTCGGAGCACGGCTCGGCCAGTCCACTAGTCGGGACGGCGAGGGAGCGAAAGCCGACGGCGCATGGAACCTGCGGGACGCCAGCCTCGTCGGTTTCACCGACCAGTCTCGAGGAGTCACCACGGCCGCGTCGTC